TCTTTAAGGAAATTACTTTCAGGGATGCTCAGTCAGGTGTTGTAAGTTCTCCTTAGCAGTCCCTGAGCCCTATGCCTGCACCCCTGCCGGGGCTCTCTTCTATGCAGAGCAGTTTGGGTCCTGCTTTTTGAATAAAGCCACTTGGACAGCCATCACATTACACTTTACAGAAGACTAACATCTCTCTTCCCCACGTTTAACACGTGCAGAAAATGTGTTTTTAAAGAAAACCCCCCACACAATTAGTTTACAAGGCTGTCAGAAAATATCGTTCTCTAAAAAGGAAGGGAAACCAGATGAGAAAGATGAGAAAGAAATCTGCTAATACAAAGAGAGGTGACTGTTCAACTCAACATGTGGAACCAAATCTTAGAAAAAAGAAGTGAATAAGGCATAGCAGGACTACATTAGTATATTTTCTTCAATAACTATATTAACATTTTCCTTCTTTCTAACGTTATATAAATGGATTCCTTCAAATCTCTATAGGGAAGAGGCACCGACTACAAAAAACTTGAATAATGAGCATATGGTTTTTCAAAACCACATAAAGAAGGCAAATGTCAAGATTCCAATAAAGTACGTATATGCTTATAAGTAAAACTTCAGAGAAAATGTATGGCTGCAACTGAGACTAATACACACAGATTTGGTTAACATCTAGTTAGTATATAAGAAGCTCAAGAACAGTGCCATGATACTTTGGAATTCAGGCTACCACTGGAAGTAATCCTCCAGTAAAATCAAAGCAAAACAGGTCATATTAGCTTGTCAAATGAAAGTAGGACAAACATTACATCTTGCAGTGTGGAAAGGATACAGCCCAATTCATGTTATGACATCTATAAAAATGAATGCATCAACTGCTAGTGTACAGGAGGTCCAAAGGACCCAAACTGATTCAGAGTATTTCTAGCACCTTTTGAGGAGGAAGGTGCCTTCCTGGATGCCTTAAGTTACTACAGTTCAGTGACACTAATTATCAAGATCATAGGGTCAACTCCTCTTTATTATTATCTGCTCAAAATTTTCCATTTATAATTTGACTATTCATGTAGATTTCCCCCAAAAGTGAGGGAATGTGATGATCATCTTGATATAAGCAAGTGGATCTACACTCTAACACTGCCTGAGGCATCAGAGATTTGGGTCAGGTGTCAGGCTCAGCCCCTCACTGCTGTTACCTGCAGCAACCACACGCATGCCCAATCAAGAGGGGTCACATGAAGCTTCTGGCTCTTAAGGTTAAAGTCAAGATGAGGTATAAATTCCGTCCTAATTAGAAGTCCTGTCTAAGTGGTCAGCTCCTCCCTCTCTCGCTATTTTGATATAGTTATAGTAGAACTTTCAGGATCACATCAGGGTCTCAGTCTGCTTTTAGATACATTACTTCTGATGAAAGAAACTGCTGTAAAGCAGAAGGTACAGGGACTGGACTGAATCAGCACTGACTCCATGACAAAATTAAGAAGATTATTTAAAAAAACTAAACTCTAATACCTATTTATTTACTGTTCTAAACAAGAGAAGGTGGCAGAAAAAGGCAATCAATCAGACATTCAGTTACTTGTAATAAATAAACATTTATTACATTTGGACATCTTAACTAACAACTTTCTAATAACCATAACCAGGTTAGTTGGGGTTATTTTACTTCTATCTCAGTAACTTGTGACTAAGGATTATTAAAAGGTATATGGCAAAATGCTTGTTTAAGGCCTTCTTTCTGCTGCACCCAATTTTGAGTCAAGAGAAAATTACATTAAAAAATAGATTAAAAAGTGAGTTTTTTTAATCTCAAGTAAAGCAAGGGGAAAAAAGGATTCTGAATTTCCTATCAACTTTGTTATATTTTTGTTATGACTAAAAAACTTTTTGGAACAGGGGCATAAATACTTAGTATACTTAAAAAACATTTTTAAATTCTCTTAAGAACTAATTTCTAAAAATAAAAATTAAGAAGTATTTGATGGCTTTTCAATTTATTTTAGGTTTTAAATTGCAATAAATCATCAGACACGTGACTAAGACAGCAATTTTGGTAATTGCTGGATGACGCAGGCACCTGTATAGTGGGGGCTGCAAAGGAATTTTTATTAGGTTGACAGAAAACAAGAATTGAAATCAGTCCTGAATCTCAACCAATTTAAATGAATTATTTGACCTACAAACTATGTAATAATCCTAAATTTCGCAATGCAGCTGCCAGAAATCTATTTTCCAAATGGAACAACAGATGGTTTTGAACAATACTGCAATATAGCAATTTTCAGTTTTTCCAGTGTTTTTCTCTTGCTAAAATTATAAACATAATTGTGAAAATAATTTTCAGATTTTTCTGAGACTATGCTATTTTCAAAGTGAAAAGCAAAGTTTAATATCCCAGTGGATTTTTTTTTTAGCTTTACCTTTAAAAATGTCTCTATTTGCTAGTTTTTATTTATCTGAAACCACATATGGCAGAGTGTAGCCTTGCCCTCATTTTAGAGCTAACTTAATCCCAGTGCCTGCAAGCTCTTCAGAATGTACCTCTCCTTGTGATAACTTTCAGCTCACAGTATGCAGTTAGTTCAAAACTTTATCACTCTAGGAGGATTAGACAAATGGGCCAATTAAGCCTGATGTGAGAGATACTTAAAACCTCTTAACTTCTTAAATAATTGAAAAACTCCTCATTCTTTCAAACATCACCATGAACAAAATAAATACAACCAATTCGAATGAGGCTAACCCCAAAAGACACTTCACCTTTCAGATGAAATCACCTCAAGTTCCTTCAACTGTTCTTGGCAAGATGACTCAGCTTCCTACTTGGTGATCTAATCAATAAAGTGTACAAGTCCTCATTCTCCCGCCTTCTCTCTGAGCTCATTCTCTCCAGGGCTGTGCAATGAAGTGTGGGCTCTGGGTCTGGACTGCCTGGATTTAGGACTGGTGCCATCACTTCCAGTCTGGGTAGGACAGTCTCAACTCTCAACCTCTAACTCCATTTTCAAAATGCTAATAATACTGACCTTACAGGGTGGCTGTGGATTAAATACACTTAGTTCACACACACAAAGAAAGTCAAACACGCCAGGTATATGTTAAGTGCTTAATAAGTGTAGCTAGTCACTATTATTATATCCCGTTTCTCTTGTCTTGGCCAAAGAAATGTCTCTTTAGTGCCTCAGCCACTTCAAAGTCCAGCTCTCTTTCCCTGTCTTGCCGTGCTAGTCTCACACTCACCCTAGATGTCCCCCTTTGACCAAGAATACGTTGGCTCTCTTGCTTGTGAGCCACCCCTGCTCAAACACACAGCAAAACAATAAAAAACTTCACAGAATTCAGCCAACACCCTTCTCAGCTATTTCTCTTTCATGCAAAACCTACATTCCTTACATAGTCTATATTCATTTCCTCATCTTTCTCACCATTTACTCTTCCCTTTTGCAGTTGCACTCCTGAAGCTGCCTTTTCAATAATCACCACATCACTGAACCCAGCAGCCTTTTCTCAGTCTTATTTCTTAACCTTTCTATAACAACTGATGGGATCTCCTTCCTTTCAAACTGTTCCACTTGCCCTTTGTGCCACTGCTGTATCCCAAGTCTGCCTCCCTGCTGAACCACCACTTTCCTTAGCTGGTTTCTCTTCCTATACCTTCCACCTAAATCTCCAGAGTTCTGCCCTCAGCTTTTCATATCTTTCTGCACTCTCCCCCAACTGCTCCATTCCTATTATTTCATGATCACGGGACTCCCCCATATCCCACGATTAAACTTCCAAATCGCCGCCTCTAGTTCTGACTACCAGCCCCTCACCACTCCAGTCCTGCCCTCCCTAGTTGTTGATGATGCCCATTTGGCTGTTCTACCAGCACCTCAAACTTACCATGTTCTAAATCAAATCTATCCATTTTCCTTCTTAATATTTCCCCTTTTGTTAATGAATGGGACTCTCATTCTTTGAATTACCTAGGTCAAAACATTTGATTAATCACTGACCTCTCTCCCTAATAGCTCGTCACAGAGAAGGCAGTGGTTACGTGCATGTGCTCTGGAGAGACACTGTGTGAGTCTGTATCCTCACTCCCCACTTCCTGCCAGTGTGACCTTAGGCACGTGTGACCTTAAGAAGCTTGGCTTCTCCAGCTTCAGCGTGGCCTTCACAGCAGAGCTGTGCACTTTCCATGAGAAAATGCGTGTAGGGGCACAGAGGGTGAGCATCTGGCCAGCCACGACAATGATAACAAAGAAACAGAATCTCAGTGATCCATTCATACCCTTCTCATTCCTTACGTGACTCTCGTCACATCTCACACAGACTTTATCTACATGGCCTCAAGTAAATTGAAACTCAGAGGGCCAGCCTTGGTTGTAAATGTGTAAATGCCTTAAACGTTCATTAATCTCAACCGAGGCAATCTCAGTCAAGACCTAGAACATACGACATTCTACTTACATGTCCATGTGATTTTCTCACATAGCATCCTAAATAAGAATGTAATGAGAATTCAGGAACTGATCTTATTTGAACCCAATTTCACATAACATTCCATAAGCCATATGGTCAGAAATTAAAATCACTCTCAATTCTTGATAATGAAGAACACGTTATCAGTATCAAGCTATAAAATCTTTATTGTCGTTACTCTAGCCAAACAACTGCCTTGCAGTCACCTGTCCATACTTCCCCAGGAACTGAAAACTTGATTTAATTCTGGCTTAAGAAAGATGTAAAGATTATAACAATTATTGGAAAAAAATCAGAATCATACAATGTATTGCAAAATCAATATGTTATTATCTTGTGCTCTGTGTTACCAGTGACTTGGCAGCCCTGTAAGAAAGTGGATGTGGTTAAATACTTTTATAAATGTCTATCCAAATGTTTACCACATTTAATTAAATATCTAGGGGACCATTACCAGAAGAAGCAGTTACCGGAGAGAAGCACGATTTTTATTAGTTAGCTGCCTGTAGTCAGTCATTTTTATAAAGAAAAAGGAGGAGGATTACCGCTAGGGACTGGAGCTCTCTTGTTTCTTCCTCTGCTGCTGAAGCATGATAGGACAGAACCTGCAGGGTAAGAAAAGAAGAAACGCAGGTTTACAGGAGAGGACTGCCAAATGGAGACTACAATTTCAAGCTTGGGATTCTGCTAAAGCTTCCCTCAGAGATAACTAGACTCCTCAGAATGCCGTATCTTGTTTGCTGCTTTCTTTAACAGAAAGAAAACCCCAGATTTTGATTCAATTGCTTATTTTGGAAACAAAAAGCTATACTCTCTATGTTCAAAGAAAACACTTATCACTTTTATTCTGACATTGTTGATATAACAAACATATTATTTATAAGCCATACTATTAGCTCAAACTTGGCAGAAAATTCATTTTGTGTTGCTTTTAAAAACAAATACTGACTTCAGTTATTTTGACTTGTGCACAGAATTAAGAAAAAGATCTTTGTATAAAGTAACATTTTTAGCTTTGCTATTTGGAAAGGAAGTAGTCTAGAAGTGGCTCTCGGATTAGGCCTGTAATAACCGCTGTAGAATTCCTAAGGAAAAACTGCATGGCTGAGATATAATGTCACACAGACTCAGGGATCCCTTTATACTCATAGGATTCAAGAGCTGAGAATAGGGCTGGCCTATAAATCCATCCAGGAACAGCGGACACCTACGCTCAGGGATTCTCACGACCTGGCTGCGAGCTCACACCCAGTGAGAAGACAAGAGGGCCCAGGACCCAGCTTTCAACTCCTAGTACACTTTCCGTTAACCTCGTGGAGTAAGTTATAAGAAGATAGTAAATCAGGTTTACTATCTTCTCATATGATTTAACATGAGACTCATTAATTCCCATTTTCAAAAGTGATAGCTACTAAGTAATGGGATAATATTTTAGACATTCTTTTAAATCAAAGTAGTGGCTGCATTTAAAATGGTCTATCTTATTTTTAAAAATATATTTTTAAAGTCCATTTTTGACAGAGTCAACACAGATTTACTAAAATCCCCAAAAGTTTTAAAATCAATGATAACAAGGTATCCCATTTTTAGACTTTAAATGGGGAGCCAAGTAATTCAGCAGCTCAAACTAGTTGTCCGTGAACCACGTTTTAAAATTTTAAGCAATTTAAAATCTAAAGCCAAATGGTACACGTCTACCATCTTGTGATTCAGAATGTAATAATATCATGCCACATGGGATCTGTCTTAGCATTGGAACCCATTAATCACGAGAAACCTCAGGAAACTTGGAGCTGCTATCTCCTGTTCCTGTGAAACTGACAGGTCACAGCTGCTAACCCGCTGACACCCCAGAGGTGGTTTGCTGAGAAAAGCTAAGACTGTGACCGTGACTTAGTCTTACATAAATCAGAGCACTGCAACATGGATAAACGAATAAAGAAATAACACAACACTGTAAGTTCCACAAGTTAATTTTATCACACAATGAAGATAAAAGCAGCACCCTACTCATCGGGTTGTAGAGATTACTTGTTTTAGAACAAGTGAGAACAGAGCAAGCATTTACCAAAGGCTAGCTATTATTGTTGTTTTTCTGTCATAGTGATCATGTCTTCCAGGTCAAAATAATTCCCTGTCATAAGGAAATAGGAGTGGTTTGTGTCCCTAGCTTTTATCTAATGCTTCATAAGAAAAATTTTTTCAAGGTTAAACCTGTGATCATAGGTATGACTTCCTATAATGAACTGAAATTAAACACACCATGTGAAAGCCTAACTACTCATATATTTAACTGAAGTAAAACTTCAGTGCAAAAATAGAAATAAATCTCAATCGGGAAAATATTTGAAGATTTTGAACAAAATGATATGGTACCTGAGACTTGCTTCAAAATTATCAGTGGATTAACACGGAAGAAGAATGCAGAGAAGTGAAAAAGGGTACGGATGGAATGAGAGTAGCCATGGATCCTTAATTATTGAAGATGGCTAATAAGCACATGGGGGCTCATTAAACTATTCTTTCTACTTTTGTATATGTTTGAAAATTTCAATACTACAAAGGTTTTTTTAAAAAAATTTCTAATCAATAGCTGGCTTAGATTCATTTCTTCAGTGCAAAACCATGGAAATGGCAAAAAATTAAAAATTAAAGTCATGCACATATGCACACACGCACACATATGTATATGAGCACATAAATGTAATTTGAAACATACATATATGTGTGTGTGTATATATATATACACACACACATACATATATTTGAAACTGAGATTTCCACTGGTTTATAATACAAAGTCTCTTATGTAACACTACAGCAAAACTATTAGTTTTATATATATATTCATGGTGGAAAGTGAAGTGTACCATCTTGGTTATTGATTAATCTTGACTTATGCATATCTTTCTAGCTCTTGAGTTAAACTATTTTTTCATTAGGGATTGAAGGAAAAGTTACCATCCATATCCCAAACATTGATTCCCAATAATCTTGACTAGGTAAGTGTAGGCAAACATTCAAATATATTTCACACCAGCGTTTGAATGACTAAGTAATGCCCTATATGAAGTCCATTTCCCCAAACTGGTCTATGATGTAAGAAATTTCTGTGTTACACGAAGTGAACATTTTCAGGCAGTTAGTGAAATACACTTGGAAAGGACTGGCCCCACTTATTTGGATAGTCCTACTGGGGAAGGAGGTCAGTTCCTCAAGCCAGTGGTTCACATTCAGAATCAGCTAGGGGAGCTTTGTAATCGTGTAGACTCTCAGCCTCTTCCCAAGACTTACTGTATCAGAATTTTCAGAAGTGGGATCCACAAATCTGTAGTTTGAAAGTTTCCCCTTTCCTCATTTCTGATTCTGAGTGTTTAGGATTTCTGTTTTTGTTTTTTATAGTGTGTGAACACAACTGCTCATGAGGAGAGACAGGGAGGCTGAGGCAATGGGGAAGGGACAGATGGTGGCAGAAGACATCTGTGTGAAGGGATTATTATGGTCAAGGATTGCTTTCTACCAAAAACAAGCAGAGGACTGAAGGGACAAACAGCTTGAGTTCTGGTTTGGTGATATGACCTTTGACAAGTTTCTAAAATATTCTGGGGTCTCAGTTTCATCAGCTGTTTAAAAGAGGAAATAAGGATCTGATCATCTAAAATCATATGATTCTCATGAGGATACAAAGATATAACAGACAGACACCAAGTGTCATTACGAGAAAGAGGTACAAGCTGAGTGGCCACAGAGACGGAGAATTCCTGTAAGTGTCAGCTCACCTCTAACGTGACCATTTGCTTGGCCATGGCTCTCTCCACTGCTTCGTACATCTGTGTGTTCTGGATCCCCAAGCCACAAAAGATGACAAAAGCTTCCAGAAACTGTTCATCGTTTCGGTTGAAAGGCTTCACCTTGCCGGTAGTCTCTTCCATTTTATTAACAAGTTGGCAAACTCCTATAACAATCCAAGAAATTGAGCAAATGTCACTACTCATTATCATACTTTTTACTGACTTTCACAAACACCACCCTTCCCGAAGACTGTTTTACACTTCCTTCTTGGGACTGCTTACCATCGCCAAACATGCAAACGAATCTTCACAAACATAAGCTAGAAAAGTTAACTGAATGCATTTACATAAGAACTTGTTTCACAGAGTCTTAAATGTATGTTGCCTGTGTTCAAAAAACCCTAGACTGCTATTTTCTTCCAGACTTGGTCTCAAATTCTAGATCAGTTGAGTCCCCAAAGACAATTTGTCCTTTGAAGACTAATTGGATTTTTGTACACTTGCCAAGAGAACAATTTTGATGCACATCAGAATTTTGGGTCACACAGACTGCCTTCCCTTACTCAGAAACCAGAAGTTAAAAAATACAATTACATACAAGTAGAAACAGGCAATTCATACAGACCATCTCAAATTTCAAATATGCACCTCTGCATCCAGGAGAATGGTATTTGCAGATCACTTCTGATACTGCAAATAAATGCACATAGAAGTAACTATTTACTTAGAGAGAAAAGCAGAACTAACCTTTGAAGAAAATCATAATATATCCTGCCAAGTCCTGGCCTCTCTTAGAAAGTCAAACATATATAGCCAATATAAGTGTAAGATTACATCAAATCTTTTTAAAAAAAATTTTTATTGACGTATAGTTGATTTGCAATGTTGAGTTAGTTTCAAGTGTACAGTGAAGTGATTCAGTTATACACAGATATTCTTTTTTAGATTATTTTTCATCAAAGGTTATTACAAGATACTGAATGTAGTTCCCTGTGCTATACAGTAGGACCTTGTTGTTCATGTAGTTTATATACAGTACTGTATATCTGTTAATCCCAAACTCCTGATTTATCCATTACATCAAATTTTTATTGAACTACTTGCTCTATGGGATTTTGAGCTTACTGGTTTCTGAGAGGAGTCTGGTGACCTCCTACCTCTGGGTAAAACAGTGCTAATAAAGCCCTATCTCTTCTACATCTGTAATAGAGACTTCCACCATGTGCCCACTGTGGGGTAGGTGTTGTGCTTAGAGCTTTAGGACACACATGAACTCTAGTCTGCACAATTTACACTGTGAGGAAGGTGTGACACACCCATTTTATAGATGAAGAAACTGAGTCTCAGAAAGGGTAAGTCATGTGCTCCAGGCCACTTAGCTAGTATGCTTAGGTCTAAAATTCGAACCCCAGCTCAGCCTAGCCCCATAGGCCAGTTTATTGCCACACTGCTGGGCTGAGCTCCTTACCCCACTCAGTTCATTGCTGGCAGTTCCCTGACTGCATCTTGCTCGCCCACACCTTTGCCTATGCTTTTGCACCAGCCTGCACTGCTCCCTACTGCACTCTCCTGTTATCCAGTAGATTCCTACATTCCCTTCACAAGGAGATCCCAGAGGCCCCCACTTCCAGGGTGAGGCAAGCACGTCTCCTTTCTATCCCCTTAACTTTATCGCTTGGAGTATCATGGTGTATTTTATTTCTGTCTCTCTAGACTGCACTTATCCTGGGCCTAGAGATTTAATTTTTTCAGTTCCACTTCCTTAGCTAGCAATGCCCCGCATACAACAGGACTCAAAAAATGTTTACTGACTTAATGAAAGAATGCAGGACTGTGGCTCTGACCCAAACTACTTTCCCATGAAGACCATAGCCCGTTATCTCTTATTTTTCCTGGAGCACAGAAGGATTTCAGAGTCCATGATGATGCCTGGTTGCAAATGAAGTCCCTTTGTTACCACTGATGTACACTGTATTTTTAACACTACAAAGTATCTGTATTCTCATTCTGCTCTTTTTTTGTTTGTGGGAGTTCTCCTACTTTAGACAGTAAAGTCACCCTTATCTATCTGTATTTGTAAGACAGAGATTACATCTCTAACACTTATTCCATTATTAAGAAATACTTTAAGCAAAATATAATGAATTTGGACACTGCAAGTAAAAACCATGACTAAATGGCAAATGGCATTCAGTATCTTAAAAGACCATGTTCCATGTATGGTAAAAATGCAAGGGTTATGTCCTCCATCCTTTGTAAATCCTCAAATTATAAACATGGAGCTGTTTATATAGCCTGGCTATCTCTCAACTCACATTTTTTTTTGTCAGTCACATGTTCCATGCCCTTATCCTTCACAATGTAATTGCTTTTCAATTTTTACTAAAGTTTTCTCCTATTTGGTAGCCACTTTTCATAAATAAGATTTTTCTTTTCATCACTTCATAAGATTGACTGCATGTATGGGAAGGAAAAGATGACCAGGAGGGCTGGGACGTGGCCATCAGGCAGTCTGCCAGGCTTAGGATCGAGCTAAGTAACTCTCTCCTGGACAGCGGATCACATCTGTCTCAGTCAAAAGTCACTGAATGAATACATTAAGTGGTATTAATGAATACCTCATAAATCAAAAGGTAATGAAATGGAATGGTAAGTGTATAAATAGCAAGAGTAGGCTGTAACAACCACAGCTCAGAATTGTCTATGTCACAATCCAACCCCTATGGATACAGATATGCAGACACAGAAGCAAGAAATGGGGGGAAGACAAATTATCTAACTCTTTAGGCATATAATTTAATTCTTCTTTGAAAGCAGTCATATTTACACAGCATTCATAACAATCCTACTGATCTCTTCACACCTTTCATAAAATTTAATTGTATCAAACAAAAATACTCAGGTTGGGGGGAAGAAAAGCTATGAAGAAGAAAAATGTTTATAACAAACAGGGCTCTTTGTTTCAGAAAATGTAAATCTTGAGCTCATTTACAGATAGTTTTCACAATTTATTCATTAAAGATCTGGATGAGTGGATAAAGGGTATGATACTGAAATTTAAAACTCATCATTTGAGATGCCACATCTACTGTAAGTCATATAAAATCAGAACCACATACATAAAACAAAGTAGTTATTCCAGAACCAAAAATAAAACAAAACCACTCAGTGAAAAACAATCAATATATATAATCATAAGATAAAATATTCAAAAACATATTAGGAGAAAACCAGGAAGTAGTACAGTTAGGTAGCAAAATATCAGTGTTACTTAAAATTAATAGAGTTCACAAATACTTGTACAGACATTATTTCATGTGGTCATCACAGCAGCTCTGAGAGCTAGTTGGCACTGAAAGCATCTCTGGAAATTATGCTGAAGGGAAGAGACAGTTTCTAAAAATCACACAATTATGCTTCCTTTTCTATAATTCCAGGGATCAGATGTTGCTACCAACCACAGTTTTCCTCCTGGCTTCTTGGCAGAACAGGGGGTGAACTCTTCTATCCTGCCTGTAGACCCATGTCCTCCCTACCACCCAGCATCCATAATTAGCATCCTGTCTTGTTAATATGTTAAGGCCTGCCCTTATACCTTATCACCTATGTTGCAAATATCTATTTGTACTTGTCACTTGTCAATTATCTTTATTTAGAGAGGTTTTTTGCTGCGTAAAATAATTTCTCAAATAACTGAGTCATCTTTAAAGTTTTCAACTATAGTGTCTTGCTTTTAAAAGAAGCTTCCCCAATTTTTCCCCATTTTAAGATTACATATAAACCTATATTTTCCTCTAGTACTTTTATAGTTTCATCTATCACACTTAATCTTCTAATTCTACTTAAATTTTTTCCCTGAATTGCTACTGGATTCTTATAAAACTTAAATAGTTATCCATTCTCTAATCATTTGAATTGCCACCTTAAATAATAAATTCATACTTATTTCAACTATGTACTTTTCCCACATTTTAATTTTATGGTATTAGTATGTATACTAATCAAATTCTTGTCAATTGAAATCATTTTTTTCTTTCTTAGAGGTACATAAAATGGTGTCTTTCAATCAATGGCATTTAGGAACAATGAAGTATACTATATCATACACGATAACACAAACATTATATACACCAGACTTGGGTCTGCATTTAGACTTTCTATTGTGTTCCATCAATCTTGCCATCTCTTTTAGCACACATATAGTAATTTTAATTATGCTACTTTTACAGCATTATGTTAATTTCTGGTAAGGCAAATCTCTATCCATCAACTCTGACTATGTTATTCTTTGAGATAAGTTTCATAAATGATTCTTTTTATGTTATTCTTTCAGATAAATTTTATATATGTTGTTCAAGAACTCCCCCCTCTCCTGAAAAAAAATCTTACAAAGATATGTATTAGAATTGATGTAAATCTAAACTGCAAAAATTACCAGCTTACAAAACAGATTCTTATTGTCAGGAAATGTTCTGCCAGTTCACTTACGAAAAATTTTCAAGTTACTCAGTAGACTTTTATAGTTTTCCTCATCTAGATGTTCCTATATCTGGCAAAGTTTCTTTCTTGTTACTATTGTCAATGGGATTGTTTTCCATTATTATTTATCTTGGCATGTAAGAAAGTTATTTTTCTTTAATAATTTGATAGCCAGACATTGTGCTATATACCAGAAACTGACACATTGTAACTGACTATACTTCAGTAAAAAAATAAATAATAATTTGATAGCCAGGCACTTCTTCAACTCTCTTTTTAGATAGGTACTTTTAGCTGATTCTCTTGGGTTTCTCCATTTAACAATCATATCATTTTGGAAGTTATTTTGCCTCTTCCTTTTCCATGCCTCACCTTATTTCATCCTTTCCTGTCACCTGATTGCTTTGGTAAGAATTTACCTCAGGCAATAGAAAAATATTAAACTCTCCTTGAGTTAGTATTGGTTATTACTAATTTTTATAGAATCTCTCCATTTCATCAAAATGTATTGGTACACTGCCTTGTCTAAAATCTTTCAAAAAATTTCTTCTGTATCTGAAACCACAATTCCCTTCTAATTCCTGTATGTGTTTCTCTTATTTTCCTCATTATCTGTGTTGGAGATTTGTTTTTTATTATTGTGTTTGCCCATTACCTCTTGTTTTACTATCCCTTCTCCTTTCATAAATTAATCTTTTCAATTTCTTTCCTCTGCTTTCCTTCTTCCTATTTGTTTACTTTTGGGGGCAGCATAGAGGGTGAGAAAGAAAAAGGCGTTATCATTCTAATTTCTTCAGTTGAACACACAATTCAAATAATGTCATTATTTCCTGATTAATAGTAACAAAATAGTTAAAGCTATATACCTCCTCTGAGTGTAGCTTTGACTGTGTACCTTGAGTTTTTATGTTAAATTGATACAACCATTGATTTTCCAAAATGTTACACTTTCATTTTGACCTTTGATGGTTTTCTTTGTCACTTGGGAGAATATTTTTCAGTTTCTAAGGGAGCTTTTTCCTTCCGGTTTATCCTGTTATTACACATTTCTAGTTTTACTGCAATGTGGTCCAGGGGAGTAGCTATCAGTTCTAATTCTTAGTAATGACCGAGTTTGTTGTATGTGTGTATGTCACCAACATTTATAAATTTTGGATGGACATTTGACAGGAATTCGTATTTTTAAATGATGAAATATAAAAGTAAACCTATACATGCTGATTAAATCATTTCATTTTCATATTAATCAAGTCTAATGTTTCCTTATTTTTTCCTATACTTTAACATTCTACGAAAAGTGTACCAAAGCTCGCACTATGACTACCATTTTGCCCATTTCTCCTTGTGTTTTTAATAGCTTTGACTTTTATACGCCAATGATGTTATTTAGTTTGTTCGAAGCATTTATGACAATTATATTTTCCTCTGTGGATTTAACTTAGTCAATGCAAAGCGATTCTGTATATTATATGTTTTTACCTTGAACAGAGATAACATTGTTATCGCAAAATTTTGCCCATTTTGTGTAAAATGGGTTCTTCAAATAGTATATACTTCATATCTTCCAGACATTCCCCAATGTTTCTTGTCCAATAAAGGTAAGCTTCTCTGTTTTTCAGGGCTACTATGAAATTTCTCTTTTTTTTCTATTTCTTCAATCAATTCTTGAAACTATATTCCTTATATTTATTTTTATTTTGTAGATTTTATTTTTATAATTTTCAAGCTATAATTTCCTACTTTTTTTCTCCCTCATTTTCTTCTAATTATTACTGCCCCTACAGTCATATTTCCTGGCACTTCTTATTACTAAGCATAATTTATAATTCTCTAACTAGGAGAAAAAAAAAAGATACTTTAAGCAGTATGTACCATGGATGACACTGCACAGTTTAATTATACTTGCATTATGAAAATCCTAGCAAATATTTTATAAACAAATGAACAATTAGTGATACTGACAGATGATAAAATTTAATATGAAAAATGAAACTAAGTAGAAGTCAAATTTAAACTTACATGATTTTAGAATATTTACTTTTGCTTTGGAATCATACTGCAACACATAAATAAGCAGAGGATTAAGACAGTAATCAGTTTGGAAAATACCTTCAGTAAAAAGTACATACGTGTCTCTCAGACTTCACTGTCAAACAATGAGTGGTATAATACTATAATTTTTATTACTTTTTCACTAAAAACAGAGATGGAAATGTAAGTCATAACAAAAGTGGACATGTTCTCAACAACTTTTTTTGACATGGGAATGGAACTAATTTCTTCAGAATACACCCTGAAATTGGTATGGAAAATAGGCATTAAGAATTTCTGGTAAATATGATAGGAGAAAAAGGCAAATTTAGCCTAATAAATAGGGGAAATAATTGGTTAAAATAAATGAATGTTGAATGAGGAAAATATTTTCTTAATAGTGTTGGAAACACTCTATCAGACAGAGCACTAAGGAAACATGTAATATGAAACGATACCTCAGGGGAATACATTTGATGATACAACAGGCCCCGTCCTGGTCTAATGTCTGTAATTTCATCTAATTGTCAGTAATGGGGAAAAAGGAAGGGGAAAGAAGATTACAAAAACCACATGGGCTCGTCTGTCTTTCTGCATGTAACTCTGTGGGGATTCTGTATTAGAATTACATAATAGCAGAATCTGGTCTGTGACACCAAGAAAAATTATCTACAGCCATGATATTTTCCATGCTACATCTGTGAGTACAAAGTACAGTCAAGAATTCAAATTCTCTGTTTTGTCACACTTATGAGACAGCAGGGAATACTGAAAAATTTTCCTCTTGGAATTAACTTGAGCCCCCACCAGAAACCCCACAAGGGAAATCTTTTTCTTTCTTTCTTTCTTTTTATTGACAGGGAATTTTTCCTTTCCAAAAACAACATTTGCTTACTTTTGGCTCTGTTGTCAAGCAGGGTGACATAAAATGTATGCCAAGAGAAGTCTGATTATTTCAACTGTTTCGGTTTTTTCTTTTGTCTGCTCACTTGCCTAAAACAGTGACAGGATCATAGAATGTGAATTTTTGTCATACAGATCTGAATTTTTGTCACGCAGATCTGAAAGGTGATTTAGTCCAGCTCCACAGAGGTGAGTAACGTGCCCATAATGTTTTAAATGCTTAAAGGAAGAACGGAGCCAGCAGGATGTCGTGAGTCCTATTCCAGAGCAGGGAACTTTGCACTTGCCCACACTAACTTTTATTTATCAAATGTGTAAAGTGATGGAAAAAGCCTGATGTATAACCTCCTCCAGCCACTCCCCATTTCCCATTATTATTCCAAAGAGCTGCTGCTCAGAAAAAGCAAAGATGTGACTCGATGTGACAAGTTGCCACTCTGTCCTCCTTCTTATCAGAAGTTAATAGTAAACAATGCATCACTTCTGGAATTCATGTCACATTTTCAAAAGTCGAAGGCAGCTTGTGGCAAACTTTATATCAAAAAGCATTTTTTAAAAAGCATAACATTTATCAGGTAGTTTTCACCTAACACCCTATGATATAAAATTTAATAACCTATATTTTTACTTGGTATCATAGTGTAGGGCACCCTCATCACTTTCCTTTTGTCGTTTATGTTAGAGGTCTGATCGGTGATAATCTTGCAAAGAGAGCTGACATATGAATTCACTAGGCTTTCCTGTTTCCTCTAAGAATTGAGAACAGTGCAGGTGATGAACAGCCTTCAGAGTCGCCAGGCTGGCTTCCATGAGGTTTTATGAGGCAATTCACCTGGGTCAGTGAGCCCAGCCCTGTAGGCTTAGAAACTAGATTACCATGCTGAGGACAGATCCCACTCTCTGGGGTTGAGAACAGTATCTAAGTTCACAAGACAATTGTTAAAAGCAGAATAGTATCAATGTCCAACAAGAGAAAGATTCTGCCCCAGGTACGTGAACCTGCAGCTCCAGCCTATTGCCTGACTTATGCCAGGTTCAATGATTTATGGTAAGAAATAAGTGGCAAAGTGATCAATACATTTGAGAGCATATGAAAAAATGCATTCTCTTCCTGTGAGTTAACATATCTCAGAAAGAAAATAATCAGAACAAGGACAGTCAGATTGGTGGGCTGTATAATGGCATAAACCCATGGATCTGCCTTGCGGTAGGGAGGCACACCAGCAAAGGGACTGGAATCACTGAGGAGTAACCGGCTACAACTTGCTGCATCCATGGCCACTCAACTGCTAGTCCTGACAAGTGGCCAGAATACTCTATGCACAGATTCAACCCTCTACCTCCATCACCACATGAGGGGCAAAGGGTCCCTGACACCTGGACAGAGCTGGAGAGGTACTTTTAATATTTGCCTTTTTTTTTTCCTATTTTCATGACTGTTATCTCCCCCTCCTCCACCTTTCTGACTGACACTCTCCTTTAATAAAATTATACTCAAGTCTTGCAACTTGGAAACTACTCAGAATTTTTAAGGTAAATTTATTTATCTAAGCCTTGCTCTCTTAGGGTTTTTACTTAAAAGTTGAGCCTTTAAAAGGCACTCATACTTGCTTTATTCCAAGTTCCTGAGGGATTAACAGTTCAGTCCATTTTCACATGATTGGCATATAAAACCCCACATTTCCTGTTCTAATCTTAATGTAACTTGCAATGCCATGAAACAAGTATATCAGCAATAGGAAACATCATCCCATTTTTCTGAGAATGACGTCTTCCCCTATTCCTGAAGCAGACTTTTTTTTACTAACCTTCCCTGAGACAGGAATTTTTGCTTGTTCACTGATTTATCCCAAGCATTTATGTCTAAAGCAGTGGAGTGTTCAATAAATATTTCTGATGAGTGAACGAATACAACCTACAATCTAAATAAACCACATATTCAAAAAAGAAAAATCAGAAACCAAGAAGTGAGAGACTCTAAAAGAATACACATTATCAACTTGATATCTCTGTCTATAATTTTCAACATGCCATTCTTAAAACTTCTGTTGAAATAGGATGATAATTACAAAATACATTATTGTCAATATTTAACAAATGTTTGTTGACATTCAGCAATATAAAATTATTTCCAAATTCTTTCATCATTCCAATTTTTATCTTTTTTCACACATTTTATTCTTTAAATTTACTCTTGAAAGAAAGAAATTTCTAAGAATACATGTTTCTCTTTAATAAGTGCCAAGAGTAGAGGTCAATGAAAAGGCTTTACCTATCACTTTATTCTTCTTTCCATTTTTTATAGGTGTACAAAGCAAACTTCTAATGCACTGCTGGTTTACATTTCCGGTGTTTTCATTCTGAACAAAAACAAAAACAAAACGGCTAAATATTATGAAAAGATTGATGTGCCCATTAGACGCTATCTATATAAACTACACTGGACATCTGAAGCCACTAATATATTCATCTTTTAGTAGCTAGAGATAATATCAGAGTGCAGAAAATGTATAAATTATAATGAAATTCATATAAATGTAATATAAAGTGATCAGTCTTTACACTATTAAAAATAATAAATATCCTATATGAATTTTTTCCATTTTAAACATTCCAAGTAGCTTATAGTAATACTAAGCAAAGTGTTTATTCAGTTTCTACTATCCCCGTGCAGTAGATGTCTCAAATAACAAGAGTGGCAGGAGCCAAAAGCATTACTCCGCCTAGGATACTACGAGTTACAAATTTATCCTTTAGTCCTACCACTGTTTCTAGTGCCCGTATTGCTAAAAGTTCTAAAAACATTTCCTAGATATGCAAACAACAAAATCAAGGCAGCTACCTCAAAGTGCAATACTTTCCTTAAGTAAGAAGTGAGAAAATACTAGAATTCAAAGTTTCCAATGTCTGAAAAACTGATCTGTGTAGCTTTCCTGATGAGGAAAACAGATAATCATTTTTCCACAGAGCTGTTCACTTTGGTGCATCACCGATTACATACATTAAGCCAAATGGAACTTAATTTTTGAGAATAAATTCAAGAACTCTAGCAATACTATCTAAAGTTTGTCATTGACATTAAGTGGGTAATAGTTAAGGTACCTCAAAATTAGTTTATGATAATTCATTCACACATGTTAAAAAAAAACTGATAAAAGTACAGAGAAAAATACTCAACTACAGCTGACCACCTCTCAACAGATGTTAGGAGATGTTTTATTCTTCCTTGAATCAGGGAAAGCAGAGATCACTCCCAGAGAGCCAATTCTGGGGCCTGTCCTTCAGTGAAGAGTCACAGGTGTAAGTGCAGATCTGATAGGGAAACAGTTTTCAAGCTCCACGTCTAAAGTTGGGTTACTTACAGTCCAGGGAAATCTTTTGTCCTTACTGACATCTGGGATATTAAGTGGTTCCATAGTATTTTTGACATACTGAGCATACATGTAATTGATTCTATTTGCATCACGTTCTCTGTGGAAATAAAAGAGATGAGTTCTTGGCTGTGCAGTGAAAAAATGCATGCAAAGTAGAATTAAATAAATGATTATAAGAGAAATATACCAGTCTTAAATTATAGAGTAAAGTGTGTATCTTCATTGGAAAATGCCGCTTAAAACATACTTGATGATTTACAATTTTGGTAGTTACTATAATTGAAATGTTTTGGAGAAAATAAAGACCCATAATTTTTCCAGTTATCTGAAACAACTTTTAAAATGTCCTAAGTAATCATTACCACTGTTAACGGGCATGTTGTAATTTGTGCCACTTAATGTAAAATCCATACGAATTTTTCCCCTACATCTTATTTTCTCATCAGATTATAGAATGACTAATGTTTAGTGCCTAGTTTACTTCCTTAGTTATTTACTTAATCTATCCATCTCAATAAAACAATCTTTGACACATTTCAGACCAAGAAGAAAACCAAGCAGGCCTAGAAGAATTTTATTAACCTCCTCTCTCTTCTTTTTTCTGCTTCGAAATCTTTTATGACATTTTTTAAAATAAAAAATTACTTGAACTTTCAATATTTTCCCAGTTTTTTTCCAGTTTCTCCCTTAATGAGTTGAACATAAAAGACTACCCTGATGTCAGAGGGTTCATAAGTACAGTGCCAGTGCTGGAGTTGGGAAAACAGAACATCTCTTTTCATAAGGAAATGTCACATGTTCCCTGGTGATAGGGGTGAATTTGGCAAACAGGGTCAGGTTATGGAAATTTACTCCTGCCAGAAAGATGTGCCTATGTGAACTGTGTAATACCACTAACTGAAGAAATAGGAAAGCCTAATGGTGTGAGCCATTTCAAAATAAAACATGTGCCTTAGGAGAAATGTCCATTTGTTCTGAGCTCTCAAAGCTTCTGTCCTTCTGCCCAAACCGATTCTAGGACAGTGGATTCAAATGGTGTTCTTTAGCACTAGTGACTCCACAAAGATTCCTGAAGTCTTCAGCCTCATTCTTGGCCAGGATATTTTAGTCTTACCTTTCTTTGCTGTACACTCTAGGTTAAGTGTAATTCAGTCAAATTAGGTACTGACTGTATGTCCAGTATTATATGTAAATGAAAAAGAATGAAAGGGAAATGACAATAGTAATACAGGAATAGATGACTTCAGATTGAACATCCACTGATTTCAGGGTCTACACTCTAATACACCATATCCACCATTTTTTAAAGTGCTAAAAACCTTTTTGCTATTTTTAAAAATAGGTGTTACTGTATTTAACTATGTTTTCCAATATAATTACAGTTAACAAGTATTAGCAAGTATATATATTCCAAGAAAGTAAGCTTAAAGAATTAATTCTATGTATTTGTCCTTTTATGATAAAATGTGAAGTTAACTAACATGGAGTTAGTTAAAATTAAAATTAACATGAAGTTAACTAACATGGAGTTACAGCACTAAAATATCTTTCTTAAAATTAAGAGCTAATTAATAAACTGTACGACATCAAACTCATTTCTTCCTTCTAATTGGGTGGCTCTTTGAGTCAAAGCATATAAACTCTAAAACCTCCCACCATGTGGAAATGAGTTTCCCTTCTAAAATTCTCAGGCGACCCAAAACTTGACAGCTTTCTGTGCTTTATACCACTGATGATATGATTCTCATAATTATATATAATGTTCACCCTAATTTTTGTTTAGTTTTACACTTAACATTTCAAAACTGTCTTCAACAAATTAATTTATAATAGATAATTAGTGGGTTGGCTAGAAAAACACCAAATAGCCATGATTTTCAACTGATACATATCTGCCTACAGAGAATGATTTGCTTACTGATAACATCATCAAATTGCCTAGCATTTCATCTTATGGAGACTGTTGGGATTGACAAAGTATTTAATGAGAACTGGAGAGGCCTAAATTCTATTAATAAATAATTTTAGAAATGTAATGAAGAATCTGCTGGTCAAGTGTCAACGTCAGTTAGTAGTTTTTCAAAATGCTAAAGTTACTAAGCACCATTTTAATTCACCGTTTTCACAAAATTAAGCCTGATATCTAATTTTTATTAAAATAAAAACATATTTACATTACTAAGAGGTCTTTTATTGCATCATTAGAATAAAGGCTAACTATTAGATGATGTAAGGCATTAATGCTGAATAATTTTCATTGCCGTAAAATTGGTTTATAAATCAGTTAAAATGATCCATGTAAATTAGTTTCATTTAAGGTAACCACATTGACCTATTTATCCTTTATAAAAAATATCTTTATACTAAGACTGTCTTGGAAAGATTTTTTAAAGTAGAAAGATATCTTCTATTTTACCTACAGTGAGGGAACATGATATTCACCAGAAACAAATCAAATATATAGTTTAGACGTACATACAGTTAAGACCACACTTAAAAAAATATTCACCAGTAGAGGTCACTATTATACCAAGTGACTAGGTTTGCCCAGCTGTCACTTAGAAAAATTAGAGGAACTGCCAGAATTTTAACGAAAATCAAAATGCAAATACATAAAATATAGCTACACAAGCATATACTGCTATACAAATATTCAAAGGTAAATGTAGATAATTCATCATTTTGTACATTTAATATACATTATCATACTGATTTTCCTATTGTACTGTGGATACACGTAAATTCATAAATATACATGTATATATGTATTTTTTAATAAATACAGCAATTCATTATTTATGCAAGCCGAAAAGTAAAGTAATCAAATATTTACATGTTTAGAAGTTTTCTAACATGTTCTTTATAAAAAGCAACAAAAATGTTATGGCATCATAAAATCAAACTAATATATATTAGCTATATATATTAATGCTCTTCCTAAGAAAAAGTCTTCAAAACTGCCCCAGACAGCATAGCCCAATACCAGCACTTAAGGGAGGTAACAGGACATATTCAAAAAGGATTCAATACCAACTAAAACAACATCAAATATGCCAGAAAATGCATACACAGAGGCATGGAGATGCGACATAAACTTCAGTTCATGACCAGCAATGCTAAAAAGGAAACAAAGGTCGGCTATTCTGTTGTAACTATGTGAGCCAGAAACTCCAGGGTAGCAGAAGAATCTCTGGGTAGAGATACCACAGTTTATCCACCTTGACTACACATCCTACACCCAAGTCAGCAGTCAAGTCAGCAACCAAGGAGTACCTTCTGAGTCAAATAAAATCCCCCACCTGCTCCCAAGTTACATTCACTCTTTTGCTAATTCCTAAAAGTCTTTTAATAGAAGAAAAGTCCTTTCATGTATCATATTGTTAAATAACAGTCTTGAAATAATGAGTTATGATTTAAATATAGTCACTTAACAAGCTAACAACTTCAAGTCACTATAGTCAACAGTTTCTAAGTCTTGATGGGGAACATATAAGGGGACAAGAAGTGCTAGAAGAGATAAGAGAAGAAGAAGAAGAAAGGAAAAGGTACAGAGGACAGAAGACAGTTTCTGCAGACCTCACACTGATCTATGGGTCAGTCTTAATTAAGAGGGTCAGAGCAAAACCATGCTGTGCACTGAACTATTTTCTTCTTCTCCTTCTCCTTCTCCTCCTCCTCCTCCTTTTTTTTTTTTTGGAATTGCAAGGTTTCTATTCATGAACTGCTTGTATAAATATCACTAGATGAACACTATCTATTCCCAGTCCTTACTCTTCCCTGCAAAAACACTTTTGGCTGCTTCTTTCTTTTCTCAAACTTGGCCAGTCATGTATCAGTTTATGTGACAGTGAGTTTATACAACTTTCCTGCTACTTCTCTGACCCCTCTTTTACCCTTGCCAGTGATCATTCTCTAAAGATTTCCTTTGTCCTCTGCTCATCTTCTTTTGCAATCTCTGTCAGTAATTACTCACTTATAATTTTGTTGAAGTATTTTGTTCTTGCAGCTGCAAACTCAGTTCTGCTTTATATGATCTGCAGAGATGATTTTCATTTTACTTTGTTTCCAACTTTTTACTACAAACATTTTCTTCCAATTTTTTATAGTGAACATTTTGAAATACACAAGAAAGCTGAAAGTAAAATGAATATCCTACTGCTAGATTCGACAATTTTTAATATTTGCCACATTAGCTATATCTACATATACATGTGTGAATACATTTATTTGTTTAAATATATTAAATTTAGATACTTATTTATTTTTGGCTGAAACATTTTAAACTAAGGTACAGACATCCTAACACTTCATCCTTAAATACACCAGCATGCATCTCCTAAAAATAAGAACAGTCTTCTACTAATCATGGTGATCTTCCTAATTCCAAAGAAAAGGTAACAATAATTCCCCACCAACATCTATATCTACTCCATATACAAATTTCCAATTGTCCTCAGAAATGTCTTTGATAGCTATTGTTTCAACCAAGATCTAATCAAGTTTCATATACTGCATTTGGCTATTATGTCCAAAAACATCTTATTCAATGACATTGACTTTTTGAAGAGACCCGGCCAGTTATCTTACAGAATGTTCTATAGTTTAGATTTGCACAGAGGTTAATTTTAAAGCACCACCACTAAGGAGCTTGGTTACTGAGGACAGTACTGCGACACCATTCAGTACATGAAATAATTTTCTGATAGGTCAAGTGTAGTGTAAAAAACCTAGAACTTTAATATCAAATAGTAAAGTTAAGGTTCTGTTTCTATGAGAATATGAGGCTTTTAGATGAAACATCAATAATTGAGGGTAAAACTAATTGACACAAATTATTTTGGGGGTGAAATAATTTGAAAGAAATGAATAATGAATAGTATAATAAAATAGCATTACAACCAAGAATTCCTGATGCTTTACCCTGGCAGACTTATATTCCTTAGATTATCCTATCACTTCAGCAAACAACACCAGTATTTTGCTAAGGGTGCAAAGGGAAATATGAGAAAGAACATTTACTCTAAATCCTTTCCAAAATTCTTCAGAAAGCACACATAAAATTGGGGCAGTAATATCTATAGCTTCAATATATTAATACTTTCTACTGTTTCTGAGTACCAATTAACAACAAAAAATGAATACAATTTTAAAAATTACAGAAAACATGAAGAAGAAATGAACTACAATAGAGAACTGATCTGACTCCAGCCATAGGTACATGTACTGGTGTGACTGAGATCACAGGCTCCCTTCCAGTGTTAGTTAAATCCCCATGGCTGATTCCAGATCAGAACAGACTCACAGAAAAAATGTGTTTGAAACCTATCAAATTTCCAGTGAAGTTCCAATATCCAATGAAAAAACGTAACTGAAATATAGTACTTGTGGGCCTTAAATGAGCCAGTTCACAAAACACGCTGTACTCAGGCCTATACTAATCATGACACCATTCACTGTAAGAAAGCATTCTCCTACAGGTCAACTGCAGTGGAAAAAACCCTGGAACTATAACATCAAATAGTAAAGTACTTTCACAAATGGAATTATTTGTGGGAGGAAAAAAGCAGCTGACCCTTCCATGTCTTAAATGAAAAAGGCCAGGAAGTAACTGTTTAGCCATTATTATATACTTGTGATAAAGACAGATAAACAGTAAATCTTCTTACCTTGGTAAAGTATCTGACGATTTTTCTAATTCCTCACGTTCCATGTGAAACACACTAGAAAAAGAATCCTGAAAACAGACCAACAACACAGACTGAAAAATAAGTTTGAGAAGGTAATGAAAACTATCCAGATACAGACAGACAAATCTGTGCGACTGACTGAAGACACCACTGTTTGTGACATTTTTTTAGCTTTTTCTCAAAGAAACCGAGTGCTTTAGGACATCCTCACGTCTACTTCCCGTTACTAAGAACCATGCTCCTGCTGTTTCTCATACTAACTTGCAAAAATGCTTATTTGAATACTATTTGTTTTTGCTTTGCTACCAACTGTTAATGAATATATTAGCTTCAAATTTTCTCCATATTTATTCAAAATCCTCAAGTTTTAGCTTTCATGCATACATTGATTGCTGTTTTTTTTAAAGACATAATTCAGGAATACTTTATGAAACCCTGAAATTATGAAGATTTTAATAACATTGAGAAGTACTTTTGAAGTTCGACTAAAAAGCAGAATACACAGTTGCACTCATGCTGTATTTACAACTAAATAAACTGGAAGGAAACACAGAAATAAAACAATGACATTAGTTTAATTAGGGGGTTGAAGGACGTACATTTTCTTTTTCTTGCTCACATTTAGATTTTTGCTCATGTTGTTGAAATATTTTTAATAAAAAATAATTATAATATAAATGAACACCAAGTCACTTAACTGTTACACTCCACAAATTAATTTCTTAAAAAGTAAGCAAAATATATTAAAGGGCATATTGCTGAGCTATACCTCAAAGCACCACTGACACCAGTCAGTTGCTGCCTTGATAGGTGTTAACTGGTCATTCAGCATGAGCTGAATGTTAATTAAAGTGATATTTAAACTGTCTAAAAATAGAAGTACCCTTGTGTATAACTTTCAAAAATTCAATGCTGAAGAGCAGGTCACAGAGCAAAAATGATAAATTGACATACTGCATTGACGAATTCTGACCTGAACTTTAAAAGGATGGCTGTGATCTTCTAATTATCTCTTTGGGAAAGGAGTTTATAACTGATTGAAAATATGAAATAATATCTTTGAGAATACCGATTATCTTATATACAGCACAGTGAATTCTCATTTGATTTCTTATTAATGAGAATTACACACAAACAGAGAATGATTCAGATAATGCTGAATCATACAGTACAGGCTCACTATTTAAAACAATTTAAAATTTTTAAAATATAAGTATTAAATATCTTTTATTATTCTACTTCCCCCCAAATCATCAATTCAGATATCATGTATGGATTGTTACTAGCCTACATAATTGAAAACCCCATTCTCTTTCCTAACCCACCAATGAGAGCCTATTCTCAAGGTCTAAAGGAAAAAAAAAACCAACTACATCAAAAAGAAATATCCCCAAAACAGTGGTTCATTGGCTGAGAAGGAAAAGAAACTACATAAAGGAAAACAGCTTTAGGCTAAGAGTCCTGATTCTAACAGCAAAGTCAGTTGGCCTGTCTAGAAGTAACCAGCACTCTGTGAGAACACTCCATCTTTCCTCACACATCTTATTTCTTTACATTACAAATCAATGGCTTGAACTCTACCAATGAGAACAGTTTAGTGGCTTTGCTCTGTGGGTAATGAACTTAGGACTTACAGCCATCTTTAGTAACACTGCCTCCACTGGGCCATGCCTTTTGTTTTCTATACAATCTCTTGTAAAAAGAAATTTCTATACCCAACCTATTCAGAATGGGGGGAGGGGTCTACCTGTTCATTGCAAGAGGGCACCACTATTTCTAACCATAAAAGGTCTGCACACCATAATGACAATGTACTTCTTCATCAAGGCAGGGCAGCCGTTGACAAAGGCAGCACACTGACATTCCCATGGTAGCTACTTAGTGGAGGGCTCCAAGGTGAAAGGGTGCACTGAAGGCATCCTCCAACCTCACCTCTACCCCTTTTCCACCAGAACAGATCATACTGTGGTTGACTTTACATAAACAACCATATTCAGCTGGGTTTGGGAAAGAGTTCTGAGGTCAATGTGAGGTTTAAAAACAGTGCTTTAGGGAATTTAATGTCTGCCTTTCTAAAAATAAAAAAGTCATACTCTGTACTCACGGAGCAATCTTCATCCACTATGAAAATGGTGCATTTCTGCACCTGCATGAAAGAGATAATAGTGGCAGCTATTTTCTTTAGAATTACTTCTAATGATTGCTGTTCTTCAAAAATTAAGCTAGCAAGGTCAAGCAGCACCTAGACAAAAGAAATAAGAACTTATTATTTAGCAATTGCTTGCAATTATTAAAGCAATACGATGATTTATATGTTGTTTTATAAGTTGTTTCTATATAATCTAACAAGTTACAACCAAGCTTTCTTTCAAGTGTTAAATATCTAAGTCTCTGCTCACCAACAAAGCTTCCCTGTTGATGGTTAGTACAATTAGTATAGTGGTTACGATCACCGACTCTGAAGTCAGAGCCAACAGTTTTTAATTCTAGCTTCCCCTCCTGCCAGCTTTGTGATTTAGAGCAAGTTTCTTAAAAATGTGGATAATAATAGCCCCCAAATCATGAGGCTGTTGTGAGAATGAAATAAGTTAACATTTATAGAGCATTTTGAGCAGGATCGAATACAGAAGACACACTACTGTTTTTGTTGATCCAAACTTCTGAGATCAATATTTATCAACATTGCCAATATTTTCACAGAGCACAATAAACACTGTCCAAAATAAACAAAGTTTTAAGAGTTCCTTTTGTGTTTTTCCTGGTAATTTCCCATTCCTTTAATTCCATAGAATTTCATCTAATCTCACAAAATATTTGTGCAATGACAGGGGAGAAAGGGTATGACAGAAAATTTATTGGAGGTGATACTATCCTAGCTCAGTCCAAATCATTCAGGTGAAGTGGAGAAGGAAAATATCTCAGTCAAAAAGAACTGGATTGAGAGAAAGTAGTGGACTGCAAGTTTCAATCAAGTTTTATGAGGATATAGAGTGTAAAGAGGAAAACTGGGGAGATGAGGTTGCAGAGTCAAGCAGAGAAAGGACCTCAAAAGCCCTATACGTCTTCTGAAGCGGTCTGGACTGTGATGGAGGGCAGGAAACAAGTGACAAGACCACAGGTGTGTTTGTAACAATGAAGACTGGATTATGGGTGGCAGGAATGGAGCAGGGAGAAGTTAGGAAGATACTGCAGCTGACGGCAATAGAAGGTCCCCGGTCATATTAACACAAGTTCTAAAAAGAAATTAGAGGGGTGCGGGAGATGAATTATCAAAGAAATAATAGAAAAAGATTACATAAAACTGAATGGCTTAAGTCTCCAGACTGAAAGGAATGACCAGGTAACATCATGATGAATGAAAAAAAGAATCATATTGTGAAATTCAGTTATAAGAGCTAAAAAAAATTGTCTTTAATTCTGAAAAAAATCCAAAAAGCTTAGTGACCAAAAAAAAAAAAATGCCAAGAATCAGAACAATATGGAGGCGAGTAGAAGACAAAGTACCACCTTTAAATCCTTAGGAACTAAATTTTCAATTTAGTATTTTATACCCAGACAAATTGGCAGGATGTTACAATAGATATTTTCATATATGCAAGGCTTTTCGGAAAGCTTACCTCACCAATACCGGTCTCGGGTAGTTAACTGAGAATGTGCTATAACAGAACAAAGGAGTAACTGAGAAAGAAGGAGTGTTGGGATCCAGGGGATAACCAGTGGAGTCTCTCTAAGAAAGCAGTAAAGGAAAGTTCTATGATGACCCCTGTGCAGCAAGCATAGGGAGAAACTGTTTCACTTGAAAGAAGAGAGGGAACTTCAACTTGGAGAGCTCCATGAAAAAGAAAAACTCAACAGAATGCCTAAATAATGGAGAGTTTGGGGGGTTGGGACCAACATGAGGCTACACTAGAGCAAAGAGTTCAAAGAAAAAAAGACAAAATTTCAGAAACATCAAGAAAAACTAAGTTCTATAACAAAAGTAATATGAACAACATTTACATAGGCATGGTATTTATAAACACTTTATTTTAAACTGTAATTTTAGAACTAACCTAGACAAAGCTTAAGAAAAGTTAATTGTGGCTGTAGAACAATACAGTTCTTCCATTTACAATGGGGTTACATCCTGATAAATCCATTGTTAAGTTGAAAATACTGAAAGTCAAAAATCCATTTCATACACCTAACCTACTGAACATCATGGCTTAGCCTAGCCTTCCTTAAACACGCTCAGAACACTTACACTAGCCTACAGGTGGGCAAAATCATCTAACACAAAGCCTATTTTATAACGAATAATATCTCATGTACTTTACTGAATACTGTACTGAAAGCAAAAAATAGAATGGCTGTGTGGGTACAGAACAGTTGTTAAGTGTATTGGATGTTCATCCTCATGATCGCATGGCTAACTGGGAGCTGCACTACTGCTACCGTCCAGCATCGCGAGAAAGCCTCTTACCAGGAAAAGATCAATATTCAAAATTCGAAGAATGGTTTCTACTGAATGTGTGGAATAGCTTTTCCATAACCATAAAGTAGAAAAAAATTCTAAGTTGAGTCGTCGTAAGTTGAGGATTGTTTGTATATATGTTATCAATGTGGGCAACATAAAAGACAAAGTCCAGATGGAAAAAGTAGAGGTAAGGAGTTGTAGTTGGGAAGGAGACATAAGGGATGCTAAGACCCTCATCTTACAAAGCTTGGAATCCAGAGATTCATCCATATCCATCATCCATATAAGGATGATGTCTCTAATTGACAGAGTAAGAAGTAAAACCCTGAATTTAATGCTACAAATGCAACCCATCCAGTAACTTAAAACAGTGACATAGCAATATTGATAGGATAAGGGTAATGGCAAGTAAAGGATGGTGTAAGTAAAATAAATCCTCATCTGCTAAGTTAATGAATACTGTCTAATAGTGATAAAGCAACAGTGCATGGGAATTAGGAAATCCAAAAAATAACTGTTAGAAGAAACAGCTAAACTATTTAAAAACTGAATCTGAACAATTTGGATTTCTAATGAAACACATATATTACTTGGATAATAATTTAACCATTAAAAAAAAAAAGAATTTCTCTACTCTCTCTTTAGTAATCGGACTTGCCTGATTTCTCTTGTTCTCCAGCAGTGAAGTCTCGTAGAGTTGAGCATTATGAAGAACAATACCACAAAATGCCAAATAAGCAGCAAAGTCCTAGAAAACAGGTAAGACCACAGCCAAGTAAGAACTGTCTATAAAACTGTCTTGTTATATTGCCTGAAACACAAACAGCATCCAAAAATATTTACAGTTTAAATAAATATTAGAAAACCAAACAGTGCAGATGTTTATTCTGCAAAAAATTAGGAACTGATGCAAAGCAAGTGTTAGCTACACGGCACAACTAGTAGATAACAAGTGTTAACACACAGTCTCCTAACGTCATACATTATAAGTTAACAAGGAGAAAGAGGGATCTCTTTATATCATTTGAAATTGAAATTCACTCTATGCAAAATTCAGTGTAGTCTCTGAATTATATTAAGACTAGATTTAAGCTAAGACTATAAAAATAGCTCGTAACTTATTACTGGGGCAAACTGAAAGCTCACATATTTGTTAGGAGGATACTGACAATAACAGTCCCATCCAGAGCTGCAAATATTAGTTTAAAATATGTCTTTTTAAATATAGATCTATCACCTTCATTATACCATACTAAGGTGATGTACTCACAATTACACTAATTATTGATCAACATAAATCTTTACATGGCAAATTTTATTCACAATCATGAATTTATTTTGCCATCAGATGATACAGCCTAAGAATGCAAATCTTTCAAGCAGGGTTTACATTAATGGACTATAAACGAATAACAGAATAAGCAGCCAATCTAAAACCATGTTCCCCACCAAATATTCTCAGCTGTCATTAACAGAATAGGAGACTAGATGTCTATTACACTGATTTTAAAAGGTACTTGCTATGTTTTGAAGCAGTTAAGACATGGGGACCAACACCAGTGCCAATACAGCCTACAGCACAGAGACAGAAATAACTCTGTCTCGTTGGAATGTCTTCCAGAAGCTCCTACTAATTTTCAGGGCAGTGACATAAATAGCAATGGGCTTGAATAGGAAGAATTCAGTGGACTCCATGATATACATATAATTACATATTCAAGACGAGAAATAATAAAACCTACTGACAGAATGAAGTTACAAGCAGATTTAAGGGCTTCTGTCCTTAAATGGAAAGCATGTCGATGTGGTGCAAGGAATGCACTCCTTCAGAGTTGGATAGAAAGAGTAATAAAATAATGCTGACTGCCACTCTTTCTGCAGCTAAATTCACATCATCCAGGCTGAACTCACACCTTGGCGCCCCACCGTCTGTGTGCAAAGCTTATAAAACATTCTGAAATTTGTTTCACCAGGAGGCAATTCCAACTTTTAGTTGACCCGGAGTGCTGAACTTGGAGCAGTACTTTAGGGGTTTTTTACTTAATGTTGAATTTCTTTATTGCAGTAATGAAAGGTAAATGGGACAGTTAAAACACCATGTCACCCTCTGGACGGCCCCAACACGCACACAGCCCTGGGGGAGGCTTGGTGGTGCAAGTGAGGAGGGAGTTGAGGGGGTTCTGTTGACTGAAGACTGAGGGTACCCCAAAGTCAGGTCAGCACTGACTTGCCAGAGGAAAAAGACACTTCTGTACATTTCAGATCGTTGTAAACCGTAATGTTTTTGTGATCAGCAATTTCAGCAATAGCTAACTTGAATAGCTAATTTTGTTATACATATATATATATATATAGCAATAGCTAATTTTGAGGTCTATGCACTCTAAACAGAAAACACCTTCTTAAATTGAGATCACCTCAGACGCAAGTTTTGGTACCTTTTCATCTTTTTCAGTGAATGTCCCACCATTTCCCGATTTCTTGTTGATGGCCTGGGCTACACCAACAACCTGGTAGAACAGAAAATTGGTAATTTTGTTGACTGAAATTACTGGAATAAGTTCACCAAAGTGTATTTATAGAAGAATTTCTACATGAGCTTTAAAATAACAATAAGCTACAAAATCAAACAAACCACTCAGCATTTTAACCAGTTTCGTATCATTTTGTACATTCTTCTTTCCTATTAAGAGTTCAAATGTTTCTAACTTCTTGGGTCTCAAACTTGGGGTATTTGGGATTCTGGAATTTCACGCTGAACTGTGGAAGAAACTACTGGCAATCACTTTTTATGTGAATATATTTCTTGGTTTTTGAATAGAAGATAAACACTAAATTTATATCACATTTCAAATAAAATATATGATAAAATTAACATTTTATATTAGTTTTAAATATAATATTCCAAATGGGCTAAATGCTCTTTTACCAAAAATGAAACAAGACCAATGGCCAATCACAGAATTTAAAATGCAGGAGGACCAATTAGGTTAAAAATAATTCCTAATGTAGGGATGTTGTCCAACTTCTTTTGAAATTTCTGCCCTTGAAAATTATCTAACCTTCAACAGACTTATTTTTGGGGAAAGAAAAATCAAAACAGGACTTAACAGACTGAGCCTTATTTCAAATCAGAAAGTGTTTGAAAGACAAACTGAATCTTAAGAAGACTGAGCTAAACTTTGGAAGTATGTCTTAAGTTTCCACAAAACATTTAGCAAGACTTTTAAGAACCTCCTCATCTTTCTCCTTAAAAGTGTATTTTACTTACCATTTAGCTCCAACTTTGAGTTATTACCTTAGTCTTATAAACACCTTTAACCCTACTTTTGCTTCCTCTTTACTGCTTATAAATTCTATTCCTTCCTTCCTTCTGCAATTTAGTATCAGTGGAAAAACCTATTATTCTCCAAATGGTTATACTTTAGAAATATAAAGCCCCTGGTTTTGTGTGGATGGTTCATTCTTTTTTCTCAGCTCACTCTAGTCCCTCAGCTTTAAGAAATGGATATAAAATTCCCCTCCCAGATAGCAGAGCAAAGAAGGGGAAACACATTTTTGTCTGATGTAGTTTTCTGTTCTTAACACGTTTCCTCCTCATCCCATGACAAAGGGATGTCAACCTTAAAAAGCAGAATTATCCAATTATCCTGTACTTATTTATTATCCTTAGTTCAATTCGTCCTTATTTTTGTACACTTTTTAGCTCTTGGGTAGATTTCTAGATGCTACAATCTCAACGACTAAATGCTTACAAAAGCTTTTTTCTAAGACCAAAATGTCTGGACTCTGAGGAGGCACATTCACTTGAGTATATCTGAAAGGAGCCTCTTGAGGGTCCCTGGGGTCTAATACATGGTGGTACCAGAAAAACGTGGTTATTTTAAGGGTTCATCCTTTTACTCAACAAACACTGAGGTGCCTACTGTGTACCAAGGAGTGATAAAAAATGGGAGAAAGACTACCCAAAAGAAGCTCAGAATCAAGAAAGGGTTATACATAAACCATAAACATACACTTACAGCACGTGGGACAGTATAGTCAGTTTCATGATACAGATGCTAAGAGCACAGAAGGGGGACCTAACACACAAAAGAGAAGGCTTCTCAGAAGGGATAACATTTGAGTTTTTATTTCTAATAAATGGTTTGATAAAAGACTTGAATTTTAAATCTTTATTTTAAGGAAGACGACTTTAAGGCAGATAAAGAGACTGTTAGGCAAATCTTCTCAGATACTTATATAGTATAAAAAAGTATGTATTGATATGCTGTGTACCTGGAGCTGTGTAAGGCAATGTACTAAGCAAGAAAGTAAAGTTCCTGCTCACTCAAAACTGTAATGGGACACAAAGCTAGCTATTTATTAAATGGCTAATAATCAAACTGTATTAACATTTTATTCCATCATGATATCACCATACACTGACAGTGAGATGACAGCTTTTTTCAAAGTCTTAAAAGAAAAGAGAAAAATCAACGGCACAATGCATTTTCTGGTAAAAGTGATAAGATGTTGTTTAGTTGAGGTCTTATAGTTCCTTGAGAACCAGAGGACAGCTGGTTGTGGACACTCAGCTGACTGTGGTCCAAGGCTGCAGTCTACGGATATCCTTAACCCAGTCAGTGGTCTCTGCATGGATTTGGGGTGCTGGGGAGAGTTGGGAGGGAAGGGGGTAGAAATATTTTATGGAGAGTCAATGACCATCAGCCTGTACTAGAAAAGCAGAAGCAAAGTAGACATAGTCTGTTCCCAGTAGGCCTGCAGCATCCTGCCTTCACTTACGTAGAAGAGCATTTCAAACAAGGCTGTTTCAGTGCACATGGGGGTGTTCCTAGAGCTCTCCCTTTATCACCCTGTACCCCAATTTCAGCTTCTGTTTCAGTTTGCACATTTACACTTGGGAGCATATTTAGGTAGGCATTTTTCTAACTGTGGGCTGGAAAGTTTTCTCTGTGTAAAAGAATAATGTCCCAGAAACCATCCTAAATATAAGCCATTATTCAGGATTTTCAACCAACACAACCGTGTTCGTGTGGTTCAATAACTAGTTTCCGTTTCTAGAATCTCTATTTCTTTTCTCAAACTTGTCTATTTTGCCTCCTTTTTTTCCTTTAAATACTAGTGCTTGATAAAGAAGATGTGATATATATACACAATGGAATACTATTCAGCCTTAAAAAGAAGAAAATGATGTCATTTGCAGCAACATAGATGGATCTAGACATTATCATACTAAGCAAAGTCAGACAGAGAAAGACAAATATCATGTATCACTTACATGTGGAATCTAAAAAGAAAAAGACACAAATTAACTTATTTACAAAACAGAAACAGATTCACAGACACAGGAAACAAACTTATGGTTACCAGGGGGGAAGGGGGTGGGAAGGGATAAATTGGGAGTTCCGGATTTGCAGCTACTAACTGTTATATATAGAATAGATAAGCAACAAGGTCCTATTGTGTAGCATAAGAAACTACATTCAATAACTTGTAATAACCTATAATGGAAAAGAATATGAAAAATATATAAAAATGTATAACTGAATCACTATGCAGTACACCAGAAACTAACACAACATTGTAAATCAACTAAACTTCAATTGAAAGAAAAATATCAGTGTCTGTTGTCCTTCATCTCTTTAAACATACTGAGTTTCCAGCATAAGTTCATCCAGAGCAGGGACTATTCCCCCTGGGAGCCTCATGTCCCCTAATCATGAAGTGTCAGACATAGCGATGTGCTGCCTGTCTGGCGCTCACTGGTGATACGAACTTGAGCTCCATATCCGTGTGGGGCACAGGCATGGCTCTTAGGGTTCACAGGTGTCTCTTCTTTCTCTCGCTGCTGCCGGCAGAAGCACACTTCCTTGCTGCTTCCTCTGGCTGCTGGTGGAGCTTTACAGGCCTCATTCCATGAGTGGAACCTTAACAGATCTAGGCTTCCCCTGGGAGCTTAGTTTCACCTCCCTGCCCCCACTGTACTGGCAGAGGGGGCTCATCACCTCTATCTGCAGATGTTACCTGAATCTCACATCTCTGCAGCCCATCTGGCCTTTGGTCACTCACATTGCTTCCCCTGGGTTCCCCTCTTTGCTTCTGACACCTGAGGTTTTCCCTTTCTTGAGATCATCTGTAATTTTTAAAATTGCTTTTGGTGAAATTTTATCTCCTAGTTGTTTGCAGAATGGATGGTGGGTGGTCTTCCGCATCTGTTCAGTCTGGCAGACTAACCAGGAATCTTGTTCACAGGCTTCAAAACCTACGTTGTACCCCTTGAACACCAGCTCTTCACTATATTTAATTTTCCCCCTGAACTATTAGAGCAAGACATTAATCATTAGGCAGCTTTATGGAATGAGGACTTGCAACAATGAATTTTTCATCCTTTCTGGTAACCAATTATTTCTCACTAATAATTTTCTAGATTTAGATATTAGAGGTTAATTTGCTTAAGGGATGAATAAGTAAATATAATTAATAGATTAAAAACAAAACACAAGTTCTTTCAAGAGACTATTAGGCCAGGAACATATATCTAATACACACATGGGCTTCCATCCCCAGGTGGAAGACATTTTTTTAAAAAGCACTGATGAAAATAACAGCTAAAAATCAGAGAAAAGGTATAACATTTGTCCAAGGTCAAATAAGACAATAAAAGATAAAAAGACTTTGATTCTCTGAATTTCAAGGATCCTAAGCAAAACCAGCACCCTCTGCCCTCCTTGTGTTGATACAAAGCCTTCCCTTCTACCATCTATTGCTCCTTTAAACAAATTAATTCACTTTCTTCAAGCCAAGGAACTGCTCACCATAGGTTTTTAAATGTCAGTTTTCAAAGACAGCTTTCATGGCAAGTGTATGTCAGACCTCTGAGAGACAAAGCCCCTGAAAATGCCAGCTTCCGTATCAGAAAGCCCAGTCACTTCTGCCTGCCTGCTGCCTACCTGCAGTGTCCTCAAACACCTAAACTTCATGCTATTTTTTTTTTAAGCACAAAGAAGCTTCTTTTCTATTGCACTGGCACTTTTCACAGCATAAATGAATACTGTATCCTCATAGGGTCAAGTATTCTTTCAGGAATGCAAAGGGCAAGATTTGACTCTCACTGGGTGAGCAGTGAGGAATGTGACAGCTGGTCGCTTCAGGGGCAAGTGATCATCGCCACAGTGAGCAATTTCTTCTTTAATCAGCAGCTGCCCCAGACCCTCACCGAGGCCATACATCAGTCCCAATACATTTCCCACTCAGGGTTCCAGGGGATGCTCAGCATGGAGGCTAAAAGCACAGGAGAAAAGGAACAGGCTCAACAATTCTTAGTTACCCGTCTCTCCCACTCGCAGAATGTCTCTATCATAATCAGACCACATATAACCTGAGCCCAAAGCTTTACTTCACCAAGAAGACCGGAATTTAACATAGACAGAAGCCAGTGGAGAATCCTCTCCAGTGCTCTTTTCAGGCTTTCCTTGACTTGATCATTCATTCAGTAACAAATACTTTA